AGGTCTGTATTGGACCATGCAGCCCCAAACTCGAAAAAGTCGAGCATCTGCGGGGTGTTTTGTCTACATGACGTGTGGCGAGCTGAACTGAGGAAGAGTTGTTGCAGACATGCATTTGTGTAGGTGGACAGCTTGCGCCATCGCAAAAGGCCAAATATTTGCTGTCAAGCTGGACTGTTGCAGTAGTACATGCATCGTCTCTTGCAGCGTCCTGTTAGTTCTCTCAGCTACTCCATTCTACTGATGGGCGTAAGGCACTCTTGCGCCTGAGTATCCCTTTCCGCGCCAGGAATTCATCGAACTGCTCGCTGGTGTACTCGCCCGCGTTGTCTGTCTGGATCTCTTTCAGCTTGATGCCGCTCTGTCGCTCCGCGATTTTCAGCCATAGATTGAAGGTGTCAAGAGCTTCAGACTTGTGAGAGATATTCTTGTGCCAGACATATTGAGTACCACCGTCAATGAAGGTAATGATGTAGTGGTAGTCGTTGTCGCTGATATCTTCTGCTTCCTGCGACTTGAAGAGTATGTCGCTGAAGACGACGTCCATAGGTGAGTACTTAGTAGCACTTGGAAAGTGCGACGGGAATGGAGCGTGACTTAGGTGAGCTTCGAGGCAGACGGTGCAGGGCGATTGGCGGCTACTAGGTCAAAGCTCCTTGCCGTTGGTTAAGAGGAGAGCATCCTTGTTGAAAACCGAGGCTTTAATGGAGTTGTTGAGAGCTTCTTGCGAGGGATGACCGAACCGTTTGTGCCAAATTTTTGTTGTTGTCCTGTGTCCCTTTGAACGCAGGTATAAGTCGGAGTGAAGGAAGAAGGCCGGCGAAGGATGGATCGTTGGCGTAGGTTTAACGCAGCGGCCGGTGCTGAAAGGCTGGATGAACCCGGCTTCTTTTGCAGTTTCAACCCAAGGTATGCCGAGATGTCGGCGACACGCCCAAGCATCAGGTACGATTAATTCTTTCTTGCCCCATGTGCGTTCAACCTCCATAGGTTCTTCGGCTTTAGCAGATGTTGGTTCTTGATTGTCGTAACCCCAATTTCCATCTCCAGATGCCCATGTACTTCGAACTGTTTTTGTTGCTGCTGATGTTGCTTCTGTTGCGGGTTCGTCGAGGAAGTTGGTGCGAGAAGGCTGAGGCGTGACGTAGAAGACATTGAGACCACGATGGTCTTGGCGTTGAAGATATGTTTCCCAAAGGTGATGCCAAGGAGCAAGTGAGACGTTCTTCTCACTGTCGCCAGATGCCTTGACAAGTGAAAACCGTAGAACTGAAACGCCGTCTTTCATTTCTGCGATGCGGACTAAATTGCTTTTGTCTTCCTTCTTGTCGCCCAGGTAGAACTCCGTGAGCATCGTGTTGGCGGTGCTGACGAAACACGTGCCGCTTTCCATCAGCTGCGCTTGTGATAGTAGGTTGAAGCCGAGTCCCCTGTCGAGAAAACGTTCGGCTACTCTGGTCCTTCTTTGTTAACGACTGTTGGTTATGGAGTTTCTGAACGAGGACAAAAACGTGGAGGTGGGTTGGCTGCTCCCTCTTCCATGTCACTGTCACTGTCATTGTCTCGTCTGCTCTAGTAGTGTATACCACTAGACCAGTGTGGTCCAATCATACAATAAATGATTGCCTTTCCTTTTGCAGGTTGAGTTGAAGAAGCTGAAGACGGCGAGATAGTCTTGACAGGGGCGGCTTCACTCGACTTCTGCCGATTCCTGTTCTTCAGTTTCTGACACTCTTCAATATTATGACCTGCTCGTTTGCAAAACTTCCAGAAGCCCTTGCCTCCTTTTCTTGCTTGCTCCCATTGATTTTATGCACCTCTTGTCTGCTCCTCTTGACTTGATCCACCTGTATAGAAACTTAACCCACTCTTGGATTTGCCTCCTTTTGAATTGTACAGGTCCAAGTCTTGCTGCTCTGCCATCAGAGTAGCGCAAAGAGAAGTTCTGAGATGTTCCCTTGGGAACGATGAAGGGACTTGCAGTGCCTTCATTCGGGTCCAAGTCCAGCCAGAAGGATAGTAACGAAGAGCTCGTTGCTAAGGTTTCCTCCGCACTTGCTGAGTTGATCCCGAATGTAGCTGTCAGCTTTTTCTACCGGAAGCATTTGCATTGTTGTAAGTTGACTTAACAGCTTGCTCTGTGTGACGGAATCTTGTGCTTAATATAACTTGCGCAAGTAGTCCCAGGCATAGAAGGCTGGAGCAAGTGAAGGTTTGAAGCACCGAACTCCCAACTGCTCTTTATGTGAGAGATTTCGCACCAGTAGTGTATAGGCCATAAGCGAATACTTGTAATAACGCGCTTGATCTTCGATTGTTCCTGTCTCTGGATAACGGATTGTACCGTCGTAAAATCCCCAGATACCAGAAGATTGCGCGAGGAGTTCGAACTCGAATCCCCAAGTATAGAAGTCACGGCCATCAAATCAAGTTGATGTCTTCAGCTTGGAGATACTTAGGAAATCAGTTTGATTTACGACAGCTTCTGCAGCGAATGGTCTCGCTTCTGCCATTTGATGTTGTTGCTGTTGTGGTTGTTGTTGCTATCGTTGAACAGGTTGCCCATGCAAGGGAAAAGACCCAGCTAATTCATCTCCAAGGGCTGAAGGCCCAGCGGTAACAACAGCTCTTGCATAACTAGAGTTCTCAAGGCTCGTAGAGGCTATAGGATGCGCTGGAGCTTGTTGTTGTTGCTGAGTAGACTGATTAGCCATCAGGGAAGCGAAGTCCAGTAGATCGTCATTAGAAAAACCAGAAGAAGGAGAATTCGTAGTTGAATTTCCTTTCTTAGCAGCTTACATAATTATAGATATATGATTTAAGCTTAAGGGCGTAATCAAAATCAGCTAGTATCGGAAACTCCACTAGCTCAGAATACCATGTAGAAGTGAACCACGTGTTTAGGGTTGCCAGGATCTAGAGTTGGTGGAACCATGAGTAAAAGCCAGCGGAAGATTTTATACCTTGTATTGGAAATGTCTGAAATGACCAGGATTAATAATAATGAGTAATGCTGGCATATTTTTAGTATAGAAAGTACCTATTCGGAATGTACTTGTTCGTAGTGTATCGCGACTGTTCGCGTGACATGACTAGTGATTGTTCGTGTGACCGAGTGGCGTGACCCTTCAGGTGACTATGCACGCGAACCTATTGTTCACGCGTCGGACCCTCATGGCTTGTACGCCATGGCGCGCTGCCGTATGCTTGTCTTTGAGCTTGACATGGATCAGATTAAGACTACTATGTCTGTCATGCATGCTGATAACTCTAGTGTGATTGGACCCTATTACTCGGTGTTGCCTAGCGTAGGTGTGTCCCCTGCGTGTATTCTAGACTCCCCTGCTACGTCAGGCGTAGGATCCTCTGCCTTGTTTAGCCTAGGCTCCACGCTAGCTCCCCCGCCGGCTGACGCTACTACGTCGCTCTCTTTCACGCTCGACTCTAGAGCGTCTGCCTGCTTCTTCCGCGACCACACTGCACTCACGTCGGTTGCCGCCCCTGCCGCTGTCGCCCTTGCTGACCCCTCCTCAGGTCCGGTAGTTGCCCGTAGCTCCACCACCCTTCCTATCAGGTTGTCCCCTCGGGTTCTCATACAGGCCTGCACATCTCGTCGTTCTCCCCAAACCTAGTTGATGTCGGCTGCCTTTAGGACCTCGGCCTCACCACTACGCTCCCCGGACACGAGCGGTACGCAGTCTGTACCGAGGCCGCCACTGGTGCCCCACTGACCACATTCCCCGGGACCCTGTATCTGGCTTGTTTACGCTTGACACTACGTTGCCCCTGGTGAGGGCGTTCCCCCAAGTGTCTGCGTCAACCCAGGTTGCTGCGGCATGCTCGTGTTGATCGCTCATTCACCCGTCGCTTCTGTGGCACCACCGCCTAGGTCACCCCGCACTCCCACGTCTACGTCACATATCCCATCACGGTCTTGTCTTCGGTCTTCCTGCGTCGCTCCCTGCCCTTCCTCCCTCCCCTGCGCCGCCGTGCACGCCTTGCGTCGAGGGTCGGCTGCGCTGTGCTCCTCACTCCTCCTCGCTTCCCCCTACCACTGCGCCAGTCCAGACCCTGCACCTGGATGTCTGGGGCCTAGCCACTGTCCCTGGGCCGCGTTGAGAGCACTACTTTCTAGTGCTTGTCGATGAGTTGCTACACTACCGTGTTTCTCCTGGAGTGGAAGTCCGACATGCCTGACACTCTTATCTCAGGGGTTGTAGTTGCGCGAGTCCACCGCGGCCTCCCCGTGCTGCGTCTCCACTCCGACCGTGGTGGCGAGTTCTCCTCCGATCGGCTTGGTCAGTTCTGTCGTGCGGAGGGGCATCACCCAAAAGTACACCCTGCCGCACTCCCCGCAGCAGAATGGGATCGCTGAGCGACTCATCGGTTTTGTCATGGAGGTGGCTCGTACCTCCATGATCCATGCCGGTGCACCCCTTTTTCTGTGGCCGTTCGCGGTTCGCTACGCCGCTCACCATCCACCGGCACCTACGTCGACGCAGTTCCCCCACCAGGGGCGAATATAGTCGATGGCCAGTGGCTCTTCAAGGTGAAACTCCCTCCTGGAGAGTCGCATGTGTTCAAAGCGTGCTACGTGGCTAGAGGCTTCAGTCAGCGCGAGGGGGTGGACTTCTTTCAGACCTTCGCCCTGACCCCGAAGATGACTACTCTCCGGGCGCTGCTACATGTAGCAGCACAGCGTGACTACGAGCTCCACTCCCTTGACTTCTCCACTGTTTTTCTTCAGGGCAGCCTACACGAGCAGGTCTACCTGCGCCGTCTACAGGGCTCCTCCGGTACCTTCCCTCCTTTAACCCAGTGGCTCCTCCAGCGCCCGGTCTACGGCCTGCGACAAGTGCACCGTAAGTGGCACGACATGCTGCGTACTATGATAGCTGACCTGGAATTCTTCCCATCGTCTGCAGACCCCTCGCTCTTCGTCTGTTGCACAGTCCAGTTGCGAGGCTAAGATCTACGCTGGTGCCATGGCGGCTCATGAGCTCCGCTGGCTGGCTTTCTTGCTCACAAACTTGTATGCCTAGCTCTACCCCAGTCCTGTACGCTGACAACAGGGCCATGATCCACCTGTGTCAGGAGCCTCGACTAGAGGGCAAAGCGAAGCACATCCAACTGCGGTACTTCCTCCTGCCGCACTGATTCTTGACTCTTGCGATTCTGAATGTTGAGTTGCACGATCAACGATTTGCGACCGTCGCCCTTTCGTAACCTCTGTGAGGTGCCATTAATCTGTGCGATGCGAATCGTTAAGGGTACTGTAGCAATGTTGACTCGATAATCCTCGCTGTTGTGGTCTTCGCGCATTCGTACCCTCACGCGAGACTTCGGAACTGCCTGAAGTCTTTGCATAATTTCCAACAGCACACTCGTCCTTCAACACCTGGCCTAGCAACTTGAGTGCATATTTACACCCTCAATCACCTGTCCGAGACATCTCCAGAGTACACCATATTATGTGAATAGAGGCGGCAATACAGCATCAGGGCCCACATGGTCGTCAGCAGCGGCCGCCATGAGCGCACACTCGTCCTTCAACGCCTGCCCAAGCATCTCAGAGGATAAACTATCTCCCGGACACAGACCCAGAGCCTGCCCATGATGGCAGTGAATGGGGGGACAGGGGGGTGGGGGGGGGGGGGGGGGGGGGGGGGGGGGGGGCGAGGAATATGCTTCTGTGGTTCCCTTGAGTGCGCACGCCTGCCCTCGCATCTCAGACAATAAACTGACTCCCAGACACAGGCCCTGAGGCTGCTCATGTTGGGAGGAGGAAGTGGGGGTGCTTTTGTTGCCTGACCTGACCCAAAAGCCAGCTGCCTGTTTCACACAAGCACCTGATAATGCTCATAAGGCATAGAGCGCAGCCAAAGAACAGTGCGGATTCGGTCAATAAGGGCGATACCCTGAGCGCACAGTGTGGACCATACCTTGTGGTAGAACTCAATAGCGAGGATGAGGTTTCCCTGTAGAAAGAGGTTTGACAACAAAGGGGGTAGGGGGGAGATGAGTGAATGGTGAAAAACAGTGAATGGATGAGAGGACAGAAAAGAGTTAGAGGTCGGGGAATGGTGAGATTAACAGGATTCAAAGAGACTTGCGAACACAAGCACATGCACACACAACCAGGCAACCCCTCCCCCCCACCCCCCCCTCTTTCACCCCCGTTCCTTCCCTCCCTTTCTCCCCCATCCAACCTCAAAATCTCGTCCCCCACAACCACCTCCCTTCTCGCCCCCCATTACCACCCCCCCCTTCCTCCCCTCACCATACACGCACCTGCAGGTGGTGTGTGAACGCAATAGCAGCAAAGGTACTGGCTGTGTTGGGACGAAGGGATAGAGCCTGCTCGTACACCAACAGGGCATCGCCATACCGCCTGGCATGGCAGTGGGATAGGGGAGATAGGTGGTGAAAAATGGGGGAACGGAAAGATTTTCAGGGTTGGGACGAAGGGATAGAGCCTGCTTGTACACCAACAGGGCATCACCATACCAGCTGGCATGGCAGGGGGATAGGGGAGGTTGGTGGTGAAAAATGCAAGAACGGAAATATTTTCAGTGTTGGGACGAAGGGATAGAGCCTGCTCGGACACCAACAGGGCATCACTGTATCTCCTGCTTACGTGGGTGGGGAAACAGAGAAGGGGGTTCGCGGATGGGTAGGGGGAAGAGGAGGGGACGGGAAGGGGGGGGGGAGGGGTGGTGTTAAGCAGGTGGAAGGGACAAAGGAAGAGGGGAAAAGCAGCCTGAGGCCCCCCTTAAATCCCTCCCTTCCCCACCCTCTCCCCCGAGCTGCCCCTAATCAGCGCCTCACCTCATTTTCCTGTACGAGTGGCCGAGGTTGACCACAGTTGACTCCCATGCGCCCAGCGACTCAGCCACTGCTGCCTGCCTCCCTGCTGCAGCATCCGAGCCCGCCCTTCCCGCCTCCCGCTCCCCTCCTCCTCCCTCTCCCGCTGCTGCTCCATACCCTGCCACCAGTCGTAGGGCCACCTCAAAGTGCCGCGCTGCTGCTGTGAAACTGAGGGGGGGAAGGGGGAGGGGAGGGCAAGGGGGGGCGGGGGGTGGGGGCGGGGGGGGGAGGGAGGGAGGGAAAGAGACAGAGCCAAGGGAAGGAAGGGGGGGAGGAGAAGTGAGACGATGGAGGAGGATAGTGAATGCAGAGGGAAGCGGGGAAGCAAGGGAGTATGGGAGGGGCGGGGGTGGCTGACGTGTGCGAAGAGGGGGAGGGGCGGAGGAGACACGAGACAGGAGGAGAAAAAGGGGAGGGCGAGAGGGTGGGGGGAGAGGTAAAAGGAGAGGGAGGGAGACGAGGGAGGGTCAGCACTAAAAGAGGGAAACGAAGGGAAATCACAAGGAGAGCAGCGGAGGAAATGGGGCATGGGTCTTACTCGAGACTCCTGTAGGCCACGACTCCAAGCTCGTTGTGCACAAGAGGGTCTGAGGGGCAGAGCCTGCGTGCTTCATCCAAGAACTGGCAATGGCGAGAAACGGGGACAAGAGAGGGAAACGGGGAAGAGAGGAGGGGGAGGGGATGAATCTGGATGTAAGGGAGCAACAAGGGGAATGAGAAATGCAGCAGATCAAGCTTAGGCTGGCTTACATGCAGTGAGGGGCTTACATGCAGTGAGGGGCTTACATGCAGTGAGGGGCTTACATGCAGTGAGGGGCTTACATGCAGTGAGGGGCGTACAGGCAGTGAGGGGCTTACATGCAGTGAGCCATTAAGTCGACTCAATTACAGCTCACATGCATGTCGCAGAGCAAGGAACGTGTTTGGCTGGCTTACATGCAGGGAGAGACTGAGGTTGTTGGAACGCTCATACTCCATGCCGATGCACACTAGAGGCACATGGAATCTGGCAAAGAGATATCGTGGGGGCGAAAAGGGGGTGGGGGGGGAGAGGAGGGGGGGGGGGGGGGGGGGGGGGGGGGGGGTGTCGGGGTGTTACGAGTATTCCATACGTGGACTGAAGGCATGGTTATGCATACTAGTGGGTGGCACATGGAGCCTGGTTGGTGCAGAACGGAGAGGTGACAGGAGAGTCAGAGGCAAAATAGGAAGGAGCAGCGATGTGCGAGGTGAGGAGGCAGAGAGCGTTGATGCCGAAGGCACAGGAGCATACCCTGTGAACAGTCGCACTGCTGTCCGGTACGCCACCATGGCTTGGTCCGTTTCCTCCTGTGCTGCATACGTGTGCCCGAACCCCATCCACGCAGGGGCGAACGCAGGGTTGATCGTGGTGGCCTTGCAGAAGAACCGCCTCGCCTGGTCGTGCTGCCGGATACAGTAGTAGTAGCACGCAACAGCGAACCATGGCCACTTACCCTGTGAAGAGCCGCACTGCTGTCCGGTAAGCAACCATGGCCTGATCCGTCTCTTCCTGTGCTGCATACGTGTGCCCGAACCCCATCCACGCAGGGGCGAACGCAGGGTTGATCGTGGTGGCCTTGCAGAAGAACCTCCGTGCTTGGTCGTGCTGCCGAATGCAGTAGTAGTAGCAGGCCACTGCAAACCACGCCAGGGCTCTGCCATCAAGCAACACCAGGCAAAACAAAGGGCTCTTCAAGGTGATCCAAGGGTCGTGGAGGTGGCCTCGCAGGCAGAAGAACCTCCTGGCCTTTGGTCATGTTGCCCAATGCAGTAGTAGTAGCAAGCCACTGCGAACCACGCCAACGCCCTGTGGAACAACTAACAAGGCGCACAAGGATCGCATGATCACACGGCTCAGGGTATTTTTCAGGATTCTCAAAAATACCCAACAGCCACCAACAAGGCCCACAAGGATCACACATGATCACACGGCCCAAAAACCATAGTGGTGGCCTTGCAGGCAGGAAAACCAGCTAGTTCGCAGTTCTGAAGAGCTCATTCCTCCGCCCCATGTGCACAGCTGCTGCCAGGTGAGTCGAGCACCCAGCTGCTGTCCTTAAAAGCCCACTCAGGAGCTGCTGCCGCTGCTGCAATGGACTGGAACGGATACCATGGACTCACGAGTTGGGGTGGTCGTCAACCAGCTGGTGCGCCGCTCTGAAGAGCTCGTTTCTCCGCCCCATGTGCACCGCTGCTGCCAGGTGCGTGGGGATGCAGCGAATGTCGTGCGGGTCTCCATCCAAGATGCTGCAGCGGTTGATGGGGAAGGGAAAGGGGAAAAGGCAGGGCCAGCGAATGGGGATGAGGCCAGGTGCGTGGGGATGCAGCGGGTGTCGTGCGGGTCTTGGTCCAACACGCTGCAGCGGGTGTGGGAGGACAGAGGGGGGAGGCAAGGGCAGAGGAGGGATAAGAGAACTGCGAAGGTGTGGGTATCCTGCGGATACACAGACGAACCATCCAACTCACACTCACTGCTTTGTAGTTCAATGTGCATTCCTCTATCGCCCCACTCACTGCTTCGTGATTCGGTATGAGTCCTCATATCGCCCCACGTGCAGCATGAGCTCAGCACGGCTAGTCGCCACGTCACCACTGCAGCCCAACAGCCCCTGCTCCACCATCCTCACTCCCCCCCTCGCACCACCACCAGCACCGTCCCTCGAGGCCCATCCCAAACCGACCCCTCGGCCGGCATCTTTTGTCCCATGTGTGGCAGCTGTCGCAGCAGCAGCACCAGCAGCAGCAGCAGTAGGGGTAGCAGCAGCACCAGGAGGTGTTGGAGCAGCAGGGTTGCTGGCAGCTGCAGCAGCAGCAGCAGCAGGTGCAGGTGTGGGTGTGGAAGTGGGGTGCGAAAACGTTCGTCTGGTGCCTAGGCGGGTTGGCTGGTGGGAGAGAGGAGAGGGGCCTTCCAGCAGCCTCAGCTGTCGCTCCACTGTGTCCTCCCTGCCGTACTGAAGGGAAAAGAGAAAAAGGGAAAGACAAAAGTGGAGTAAGACAAATGTACAAGTAACATAACGCAACGGGGCTTCCAGAAGCTTCAGCTGTTGCTCCACTACTGGGTTCTCCCTGCCTTGTCCAAAGGAAAGAGAAAGGTAAACAGACACGAAGCAGGCTTGAGGGAGACGCAAAGAAAGCAAGTGAAAACAAGTGTAGGCGATGAGAAATAGACGTCCTATTGAATGAGAGCGCAAAAAGGGGGAGAGGAGGGGACCAAGGGAAAAGAAAGAGTTACCTTCTTGCAACGAGACGAGTAGAGCAGGCGCAGCCACTCGAAGCCAGAAGGAACGCTGAGAGACTCGACCAGATCGACCTCTGCAGAGCACATGGGGAGATGGACCGTAACAGGAGGAGAGGGGATCTCTTTGTCGACTCAAAAATCACCTCAAGATCGACCTCTGCAGAGCACAGGGGGAGATGGTCAGTAACAGGAGGAGAGGGGATCTTTGTGCCGACTCAAAAATCACCTCCAGATCGACCTCTGAGCACAGGGGGAGATGGGCAGTAATAGAAGGAGAGGGACGGGGTTCAACAGATGCAAGCGTCACTGGGTGCCGAGCCAGGAAGCACTGGAAACATATCTAAGGAGATCTGGGAAAGAGGAAAGCGAAGCCGAGAAAGAGAGCCGAGCAACTGTGTGACCAGTTGAGAGAGAGAAAGAGGGAGGGAGAAGCAGGAGGGGGCGGGAAGGTAGGGGTGGTTCGGATTTCTGGGGGCACGAGACTGGAGAGAAGGAGTGGGGGGTCAGGTAGCGGGTTTTCTAGGCCCTAGGTGCCTATCGTCACAGCATGGGAGCCCATGAGGCATCCCGTGACTCAGTGCCCAGTGCGCTTCATCACGCCCCCCTCTTCGCGCTCCCAATCAGCAACTGGTCGGTTGATTTGGCTCGACCAGAGGCAACTCTGCACTCTTTAAGCTGACTCGGAATTATATAACGAGACATACCTCACATAGCATGGCAACGACTGCCTCATGGCTCGCCTCTTATACTGTGGGGGACTACACGCTTACCCTGCTCGGTTGTTAACATATGATTGTCGATCAGCTCGTCAAAGGCCTGGGGAGACAGCGATACACGAACAGAGATAGACAAGGAGAGGAAGCGTTAAGGGACGGAGCGTCTGTTGTAAGCATAGAGAAAGGTGAACACTGGGATTGCGGGAACACAGAACTGGAAACGCACCTCTGAGCAAAACGGATCAGCCTGTAGTGCAGCTGAGAGCCTGAGAGGAAGGCAAAAAAGACAGAGGGGAACGCAAGATCATGAGACCATGCGACAGAGGCAGCATGTGCGCCAGGAAGGGAGACGCAAAGGGCGGAACAAATCCAAGGCGCAAGCACAAGAATCAACAATCCAAAGGACGTCGGCAATATCTGACCGGCCTGCCAAATCTGCTCAGATATAAGCGTGTGTAATCAGGGCCCGGTTGGGCGTCAGGATTTGATGGTGCTATGTCTATCATCGTGGCAGATTGCATGCAGCATACGAGCAAGTACAGACGAGCACCAGACAGCCAGATCCGGCAGCAAAAATGACGATCGGGAAAGGGCGGGTTAGGGGAACGATGTAGAGAAGAAGAAAGACAAGAACCTTGACACACAGACGTTGATAAAGAAGCTTTTTATGAACCGGGATCTGCTCAGAGACAGTAAATGTTGTGTAATCAGAAACCAATACTGGATTTAGTCAGGATTTGATGGTGCATTCTTTATCGTCACAGCAGATCCCGCGACTCAAGGCTCGACAAACATTGAAAAACGTGTCCGTAAGGGGGAAAGTAAGACTGGGGGTCAGGTAGCGGGTTTTCTAGGCCCTAGGTGCGAATCGTCACAGCATGGGAGCCCATGAGGCATCCCGTGACTCAGTGCCCAGTGCGCTTCATCACTCCCCGCTAACGCTCTCCATTAGCCTAGATCACTACTCACTGCTCGCTCTCTCTTCTGTCTTATGATTCCTCCCATCGCTCCACGGACTCTTCTCGACTCGACTGCCCAGCTCGCTTTACTCGGGTCCTAACACCCAGGAATGAGAGGGGGAATAGAGGAAGGCATCAGGTAGCAGTGAGGAACGAAACGGAATATACGAAGAACAAAGGACGCCAGCACCCGGTTACACAACGGCGTGGTCAGAGGCAGGATTTAAGAATTCAAGAAACACGGAAAACAATGAGCATTTTAAATGACGGCGATTCCCCAAACGTCAAAGGAGCCAGGGACAAGACATGAGATAATGATATAATCGACAATAGGAAGGACAATGTCTGCTCAGAAATGATTATGCGTGTAATCAGAGCCCGATATCGAGCGTCAGGATTTGATGGTGCAATGTCTATCCTCATGGCAGATTGCAGAACTGATCGACGAACAAAAAGAGAACTTAAAAGCAAAGATTGTTCTAGAAAAAAGAGAAGGGGGGTTGCAGGGGGTCAGGTAGCGGGTTTTCTAGGCCCTAGGTGCGTATCGTCACAGCATGGGAGTCCATGAGGCATCCCGTGACTCAGTGCCCAGTGCGCTTCATCTTTCCCCCTCACCGCTCGCTGTCGCGCACACCTCGTACTCGTTCGAAAGTAAATCTCCGCAATAACGAGGAAAACTAAACGGCGTACCATTGGATAGCTTTTGGTCGGTTCCCAAGAGCCTCATACGCGCGACCTCGAATCAGATTGAAAGCCGCTGCTGGCTGCAGGTTAGAAGGTAACGGGAAACCCACAAACGAGGACGAGGAAAGAGAGGCGGATGAGCGCCAGACCAGATGCAGCCGAGCGAGTACATATTGCGATTTACACGAAACGTTTTCTTTATACATGTACCGCTAAAGCAGAAAATCACCTTGATCCCAACCCGTGGCGAGTCTTCAACCGTTCCTCCAAATGCTGGGGTTGACAGATCCAGTTTCGCTGGAGCAATGGCGTCGGTAGGCGTATGAAACCCTGCACCAGGTACAGGTGCAACCGCAACGCCGGACCAGGTTTTCCCGCCAATTGTAGCTCCATGACTGCTGTTAGCGTCTTCCAACAGTGCGAGGCACTCCTCCCAGTCCTTAACTTGCTCCTGCTCAGAACGTCACGTCACCACCATAGGAGACCAGTGAGCCTTCTCGTCCGCCTGCCATGCTCCTACACCACATGACAAGAGAACCCAGAAACCAGAAGCGACCGAACCCAATAAGCTACGATAACGGCGTTTAAGATTGGCTCAACATTGCTCAAAATTGAAACTATAAGCGCAACTGAAGAGCCAGATCTGACAAGAGAAGCGGGGATTATAATAGAAATTGAAAAAAAAAAAAAAAGGCGTTTGAGTGCAAGTGGCACGAAGGACTCACTGACCAGGCATTTCGCTGCTAGTAGCCGAAAGCGGGGGTCAGAATGCACAAGATTTCCGGCCCGCAATAGCCTCAATGCTCGTTTGAATTGCCGCGAACTATAGTAGCATCGCGCCAAAAGGAGGACATCTTCTGGATCCCGAGAGGATAAGCAAGCGAGCTTATCGGCGAGGAACGAGGCGGAGGTGATGAGGTTCTTGTCCAGGCAATCCCGGACGATTACGCGAAGGCGATCTAGCTCGGCCATGGCGAACAAAATTCAGATTGATGTTCTGATAATGTATGACTGGATTACGGAATGCCGGATCCTCGGAAATCTCATGATATTCCAACAATGCACATGTTCCGACAATCTGCAACTGAAGTCATGGCAGCTGTTGGAGACCTGGTTTGGGAGTTGTCACATGAGAGGTTTATTGGAGGCTGGGATGAGAGAGGAGGAGCACACCACACCACACAAGGCTTGGATAAGCTAACTCGTTATGCGGACGAATAGTTTGTCAATAGCGGAGACGGGGTGTCTTGAGTAAGAAGGCCACTATGTCAAGAAGTGTATTTTTGTCCACCAGATTACTTTGATAGTAATAATAGTACAGTAAATGCCATCCGACTATTGTGTTATAACGATGGGGTGTGCTGAGAACGAATGGCCGTTGCACGAACTTCTTGGGATTGTCAGGGCGGGAAACGAGCTCTTTCTCAGCGAGTCGGGGAAGGTGGGATGACACATCGCCATGCCAGTCCGCTTTCCGACATGTACAGAACACCGATTTCGCGCGGCGGAGCCTCCGCATTCCACCGTTCCGCTCCGCCAACATTGTCCGCCAGTGCAATAAATTCTAGCTTCCGCGTCTTCTTCCGCCAATTCCCGCTGCCGGGAACGTTCCAGCGTAGCACACACGTCAATGACACATCCGCGATGTCCTCTGGTCGTTTGTCAAACATCCCGTCCCGTTTTGTGCCAACCAACCAACCAACCAGCGATGACAGCATTCCGTCAGTCAACCGAGGCTTCTCTCAAGCAACCATAGTTCGCCTCTCCAAACAACCTTCTCTTTACCTGTGCCTGGTGAAGCATTCATTCACTCTCCGATTTCCCCAAAGCATCTTCTGAAGCAGTACTGACACAAGTGGCTACCTCCTAGGCTTCTGTTTTAGCATCTGAGGTATCCTATTTCGCTGCGTGACACCTTATTGAGCAAGCATCTGCACCGCAAAGTGATAGTTCCTCGGACTGCTTCAGCTGCTGCCTTGCAGTGTGCAGCCAGTACTTGGGCTAGTGTCAGCGAGTCACCATGAATCCTGAGTAGTAGGTATCCAAGCGGATATTGTCTCCTTAGAACCGCTTTTGGAGCAATAAGTTGCTGATAGATCACTGAATACTTTGCTTGCGCAGTGACTACCTGTTCAAGCTTTTGTTGATTGGCGACTCTGGTGTTGGAAAATCGTGCCTCCTCCTCCGTTTTGCTGTAAGAATGGTCGTCCTGCTTTTAGTTATATTGCATGCTTACGGTTTGTCATTTACTGAATCAGTTTGTCCGTATCCCGACTAATATTCCAGGATGACTCGTATTTGGAGAGCTACATCAGCACCATCGGCGTAGACTTCGTGAGTTTTATTCAACCTGCTTTCGTGTTGGAACCTTGTTTTTCTTGAAGAGCAAACGAGGCTGACATTAGCCCCCTTGCTCGATTCTCAGAAAATTCGCACTGTGGAGCTCGATGGCAAGACGATCAAGCTTCAGATCGTAAGTTTCTTTAGATTCAGATGTAAAACTTCAGATGCCTTGCTTGTGGCTGTTACTAAAGCGTCACCAATCTCATTGCAGTGGGACACTGCAGGCCAAGAACGCTTTAGAACCATTACCAGCAGTTATTACCGTGGAGCACACGGAATTATTGTAAGTAACCCTCTGATTGTCGCTTCGGTCGAATAGAAGATATGGATTTTTCCTGATTCGTGCTATTGATGTCCATGGAGCAGGTTGTCTACGATGTCACTGATCAAGAGAGCTTTAACAACGTAAAGCAGTGGTTGAACGAGATTGACCGGTACGCTAGCGAGAACGTCAACAAGCTGCTTGTGGGGAACAAGTGCGATCTTACCAACAAGAGAGTCGTGGATTATCAAACGGCCAAGGTGAGACCTACATCCGTCCATTGCCGTTCTGGAATTATGCCACCGATTTCTTCTTCCTGACTCCCTCAACAATTTTCTCTTCTAGAAGTCACTCGATTAGACAGCACAGATAAAGGGATATAAATGCACTGGCTCGAATGCGCACCGGATCGCCCTTACGTACCTCGCTATGTTCTGCGACTGCTTCATTTTAGTTTTCTGCCGCGTACACTGTACTACTGTCAGGCTTTCGCGGATGAGATTGGCATCCCCTTCTTGGAGACCAGTGCGAAGAACGCCACGAATGTAGAGCAGGCTTTCATGACTATGGCTGCTGAGATCAAGAACAGGTATGGAGATCAGTTATGGTAGGTGTTTATGGTGCTCCTGACATGACTCCCGTTTCCAATTTCTACACTCTCGTCTTCTATTTCCCTACAAATTCAACAGCCCATGCTGGTTGCTTTCTCCCAGGCTCTTCTCCGCTCCCCCCCCCCCCCCCCCCCCCACCCCCGCCTACCCCCTTTGTTTCCACCCTTTCCATTGTCCACCTGCCGCTCCCAATCCGCCATGATCCCCGACTCGCTTTCCCCCCTGTTTCCCCCCAACACCTGCTACTCCCTGGTTGCCTTTTACCCTTAATCTTTTCCTCCAACACCCCAGCCTCCCCCTTTCCCCCTTCTCTCCTTTTCCTTAATCACAGTATACCTTCCCTGGCCTTGCTTACAGAATCTGGCTTGTTGTATTGTGTGCTTCCTCATTGTTTGTTCTGATTTCTGTATGCAGGATGGCGAGCCAGCCAGCTTTGGGCAACAAGACAGGACAGACTGTTCGTCCAGGGGAGAGCAGGCCTCTGCAACAGAAGAGTAACTGTTGCTAGCTACAGCTTGATATTCTTACACACCTACAACAGGCCTAGCTATCATTTAGACATTCTTGCTGGTTTCTTGGATATAATCCTTACAGTCAGCGGGAATACAGAGCTAGACTTGTAGGATCTTAGCTTTTGTTCCTCTTTCCTGTTTGACTCATCATTATATAAAGCCTAAAAAACTCTTCAGTTGGCTGTGAACATATTAGATAAGAATATGCACATGGGACAGGATAGTGTGTGCCCTACATTTGCAGGAGTTCACCCACCACGAGACAATGCACATACTACCATAGAAGTGAGATACTGGTTGCTTCGCTAATCTATGAAGACGACATAACACAGGACTCCCCCCACACACACTACATAGGCATAGGCATGGGCACAAGAGCAGGGCTCATGACCATAGGCTTGGCAACTGCCACAACCTTCTCCTTCCCAAACAGGTACTCCACCAGGGTCAGAGCAAACTCAAACGCCGTTCCCGCCCCTCGGCTCGTCACTATTGGCCCGTCCACCACAACACGAGCAGGCACCACTGACTGGTCTGGCAGCTGGTCAGATAAAGATGGGTGTGCAGTCGCCTTCTTCCCTTGAAGCAGCCCCTTGGACTGGAGTACCACGACAGGCGCAGCACAGATGGCTGCACAGAGCCGCCCATCTGCCACTTGCTCCCGCAGAATGCCATCCAGTAAGATGCTATCACGAAGGTGATTTACCCCCGGAATACCCCCAGGAACGAAGACGAGGTCGAACTTGCGCCCAGCAGCAGCCACATCAGCAAGGGTGGTGTCAGCTGTGAGATTCGTCCCGCAACGCAGCTTCAAGTCAAGAGAATCCGTGACAGAAGCAACGGTAACCTTGGCTCCTGCACGCACGAGCACATCAATGGGAACAACAGCCTCCACATCCTCTGTCCCATCCGCCACTGCGACCAGCACAGTCACCTCTTCCCCTTCCTTCTTCGGCTTGGGAATCTTATCCGTATTCTCCACTACACGCAGCACATCCGACCCATCCCCTGTTGCAGCAACAATCCCAGCGGCTACTTCTGCTGCTTTCGCCTCCCCAAACAGCCGAGTTGCCAGTGCAAGCGCAAACTCGATCGCCGTTCCAGGGCCGCGGCTGGTAACCAGGTTACCGTCTTCAACGACCCGAGCTGCAGTGATAGCCGGGTCAACGCCAGTCAACTTATCAGAGAAGGCTGGGTGGGCTGTGGCTTTGTTCGTGGCAGTCAGAACGCCCCAGGACTGAAGGGCCACGACGGGGGCGGCACAGATGGCAGCCACGGACGAATTGGGGAGCGACATGTGGCGCTCAACTATCTGCTTCAGAGGGGCGCTGTCCCTCAGGTGCTCTGAGCCTGGCATGCCTCCTGAGAGAGAGAGAGAGAAAGAGAGAGAGAGAGAGAGAGAGAGAGAGAGAGAGAGAGAGAGAGAGAGAGAGAGAGAGAGAGAGAGAGAGAGAGAGAGAGAAGCGGACCAGAGGAAGTGATAGTGAGTTGGCAATTTTCAATAATAGTTACATGGCCCCATGACTTATGCCACATAGTTCTCAGATACATGCCACATGTCATTATTTCAAGCCAAAAACAGAAAAGAAAAGAAAACTCGGCTAGAAGCTGTCTCGTTTCAAGCACATTACCGGGCAAAACGACGAGGTCAAAGTCCGTATCCACGACCGAAGTGATGACGTCATCAGCGACGAGCTTCACTCCGCGCGACGCGACGACGGCCTTCTGAGGCTCCACCGACGCGACCACCACCTCCGCTCCCGCGCGGCGAAGCACATCCGTTATAATCACAGATTCCATCTCCTCCGTCCCCGTCGCGATCGGTACAAGCACCTTCTTGGCTTTCGCAGCGCCACCGCTATTGTCACCCTCTCCTGCCATGCCTCTCGGGGTGACTGTAACGGGCGAAACGGGAAGCTTCTGCGCGGGGAAGCCGGGGGAAGCAACGGAAACGGAACGCGCTGCTGAGAGCGCAAAGGCGGAAGACAGCGCGGTCAGAACACTCCTCCGCGGAACAAGCGCGCGCGAAGAGACTTGCGCGGAGAAACGCGGGGAAGATGCAGTGGTAAGGCGCCTCAGTGACCCTGTCAGAGATGACAAGACACAGGAGTGGGAGGAGGCAACGCGCGGAGCGCGCCGAGCAGCAGAGGTGACGACAGCGGTTGCAGAAACAGATGCTGCGGCGGCAATAGCGGGGGGCATGGTGGAGCGAGGAGGAAATAAAGAGGAATCTGGGAAATGGATGGCTGGATGGTCTCTAGATTCTTCTCAGGGCAAAAGATTTGCCCCAATTCGTGTCCTCGTTATTGCTGCATCCGTGACTCCATCTGAAACGAACCATTTGAAAGAGTCTTGCTGAAAAATTCCTCCGTTTTCTACCGATACAAAACTCCTATGCACCTATTGGTACAGTAAAAAAAATCGAAGCTTCAACTGGTACACCTATAATCTGTGAAGCTTCTAGAAGCATGAAGCATGAATCTTTACCACGTTCGCCCTAGATATTATTGGTTGTGTTTCCTGACACCATTTTCCACTATTGTTGTTCCGGCTTCGGGGGATAAACGTTAGATCGAGTAGTCTCTCGAGTCGCGGGCCACGAGTCGACGTCGTTCTAGGGTACGCTGCGCAGGTTTCCCATTCGAATTACTCTTTCTCGGCTCTGATCGACACTAGGGTTGCCCACTTCGCCATGGCGAAAAAGGATCGGCGACCTTCGCAAACGGCCAAACCGCAGGTGCAACCTCGTTCCCTCGAGATTCAGAGTATGCTTGGTTTTCCCGCTACAGGAGCATGACTGGTAACCACTCTCTTTTCGCGATGTTCGCAGAAGAAGGTTAAGTCGCCAGCGGAGATCACGGCGGATAAGCTCCGATATCACAGAGAGCTCGACTCGCGATGGGCCATCGTTCGCGTAAGCTCAAGCATTCCCGTTTTTTTAGGCGCCTCAAAAATAATTCCCGTACTAGTCGTCTCTTGTTGTATCAGTCGTTCTTACTCATATTTCGGACGGACCTTCGGCGCCGATGTCATTCGGTGCACAGTGAGCTGGACTCGCGACTCGCGATGGGCTGTCGCCCGCGTAGGCTCAATTCTCGTTTCGCAATCTCTCGCTCTCTCACGTCGTCTAAGCCCCCGCGGCAGTCGCTCTCGCAGCGACTATTTCGATACCACTTCGCCAGTCGCTGCGTGTCGTCCTTCGGAGTCTCTATCCCATTCCACCCCTTGCGTCCGGTCCAGAATTTTGCAGGGTGTTTTTTAGAATTCTAAAAAAAACTCCCATTTCACCCCTTGCTTCTGTTCCAGAAGAAGCGAGTCAAGTGTTTTCGCGTGAAGGACTTCGCAAATCCCCTTCGCAAGCACCCTGAGCTCATCCCCTCCCCACCCCTCCTTTCTCCCCACGCTCTCCCCCCACCCCCTCCTCCTCCTCCCCAATACTTTCCTTTCCCCTCTTCCAGGAAAACAGGGTCAAGTATTTCCGCGGCAAGGACTCGGCGGACCTCCTTCGCAAGCACCCCGAGCTCATCCCCTCCCCCATCTCTCCACACCCCCTTGCGTAACAAATCCACCACTTTCTACCACTTCCTTCCCTCCAGGAAAACCGGGTCGAGTACTTCCGCGGTAAGGACTTCGCGGACCTCCTTCGCAAGCACCCCGAGCTCGCGGCGCCCTTGATCTCCCCAGAGGACGCAGCTGGCCTGCGCCGGCCGGTGGAGGAGGCGGTGTTTCACAGGCTCGTGGAGGCCCAGCTCGTGGTGCGCTGCGATCGGGTAGTTAAGACTCTGCGACCGGGGAGGAAGAAACTCTCCAAGTGGCCGGCCCGGCTCGATTTCCACCAGGTACTAACACTGCCATTGTTGGTGAGTTGATTCAAACGTCAACTTGCAGGCAGGCCGGTGGAGGAGCCGGTGTTCCACGGGCTCGTGGAGGCCCAGCTGGTGGTGCGCTGCGATCGCGTGGTGAAGACTCTACGACCCGGACGAAAGAAACTGTCGAAATGGCCTGCTAGGCTGGACTTTCATCAGGTACTGCCAACCAATGCACTGCTGGTGAGCTGATTCAGATGTCACCCAGGTACTGCCAGAGCCATGCATTGTGAGTGTTGGCTTTCCACCTGAAGTCCGTGGCGCAGGCCGTCAGTCACCTGCGCAGGCTGGTGGAGGAGGCCGTGTTTCATGGGCTGGGGGAGGCCCAGCTGCTGGTGTGGCGCGATCGCGTGGTGGAGACTCTCAGGCCTGGCAGGAAGAAGCTGTCCAAGTGGCCGGCTAGGCTGGACTTTCACCAGGTACTGATTGTGGGGGTCCGGCGTTCAAGCATCTCAATAGCGTGGTGGAGACTCTCAGGCCTGGCAGGAAGAAGCTCCCAAAGTGGTCTTCGCTAGGCTTGACTTCCACCAGGTACTCATCTTGAGACAGGTGAGGCTCAAAAACTTCAAGGCTCAAAGGGGGTGTTTCACGCGCTGGTGGAGGTGCAGCTGGTGGAGGTCCACCTGGTGGTCTCAAAAGCTGTACACTCCGCAGATTTCCACCTGGTGCTGATCTTGAGACATCTCAAAAGCCGTGTCTCATGGGCGGTGCGGTGCGGGGTCAAATGCTCAAAACCATGCCTCACTTTGCCCTCTTTCCTTTTCCTTCTTTATGCCCTCAGGATCAAGCATTCGCTGTGGACGGTGGCTTCTACGCGTGCGTGTACGAGCGCCAGCAGCCCGTGTGGCAGCAGACCGCCTTCTCCCAGAGCTCCTCCTCGGCTAGCTCTCCACTCCTCTATCCCTTCGTCCACCCCACACCCACTCACCCCCCTTCCCCACGCGCGCAGGATCAAGCATTCACTGTGGACGATGTGTTTTACGCGTGGATGTACGAGCACCAGCAGCCCGTGTGGCAGCAGCCCACCCTCTGCCTGCCCCTCCTCTCTTTCCAGCTCACTTTCCCCCTCGCCTCTTCTGTTCCCCCACCTCTCAACACCAGGATCAAGCATTCACGGTGGACGATGGCTTCTACGCGTGGATGTACGAGCGCCAGCAGCACGTGTGGCAGCAGCCCACCCTCTGCCTGTCACTCCAAAGTTTCCAGCTCACTTTTCCCCTCGCCTCTTCTGTTCCCACACCCCTCAACACCAGGATCAAGCATTCACGGTAGGTGATGGCTTCTACGCGTGGATGTACGAGTGCCAGCAGCCCATATGGCAGACTATCCTCTCCCCTACTCAGCTTGCCGTCTGTTCCCCTCTCTTCCTCGCTGTTCCCCGCCCTCAGGATCAAGCATTCACTGTGGACGATGGCTTCTACGCGTGGATGTATGAGCGCCAGCAGCCCGTGTGGCAGACCATCCTCTCGTTCATGCTGCCGGTCTTCACAGTGGCGTGCTGCCTCTTCCCCGTCTTCCCCCACTGGTGCAAGCTCACTGTGCTCTACTTTCTCCTCGGCTTGATCGCCCTGATCTTCCTCCTCCTCTTTGGTAAGTGAAACGCTTAGAGTGGGGTAAGTTCTGATGCGTGTCCAAGTCTTCACTGTCGCCTGCTGCCTCTTCCCCGTCTTCCGCCACTGGTGCAAGCTCGCTGTGCTCTACTTTCTCCTAGGGCTCATCGGCCTCGTCTTCCTCTTCCTCCTGCTCTTCGGTGAGTGAACCACTTCAAATGCGGTGAGCCACCTACTCTTAGGTAAGCAACACGCTGAAAAATGTCTCAGATAAAAGCAATGTAAAACCTCATCAGAGCTGTTGCTCTGTGTGAGTTCTTCGAGCACGTGTGGCCGTGGTTCCTCCTCCCGTGCATTCTGGCCGAGCAGGGACCTCTGGCGGAGCACTTCCACTTCTGGCATATTCTGGCTCTGTGCAGCATGCTCATGCCGTCCCCATCGTCCCACCACTAACGTGGTCCTGCTCCTCATTGCAGTGCGTGTGGCCATATTCGCAGTCATCTGGCTGGCTCTGGGCAAGCGCGTGTGGTTCTTCCCCAGCATTCTGGGAGAGGAGGGATATCAGGCAGAGCTATCTCAAGCTCGTCAGCACAGCTGCTCAACACGTGCTCATTCGCTCCTCACCCACCCTGCTCTGTCTCCTCCTGTGCAGTGCGGGTGGCCATATTTGGAGTCATCTGGCTGGCTCTGGGCAAGCGCGTGTGGTTCTTCCCCAGCATCCTCGCGGAGGAGGGCTCGCTGGCGGAGCTCTTCCGCTTCTGGCCAGATAAGGACGACAAGCCGCCCGCTAAGATCACGACCCGGCTGGCTGTGGCTGTGATGCTGGCATTCACGTTCTGGCTCATGGTGACCTACGCCCCCGACCAAGAGCAGCGCGCAAAGTGAGTCTTTCTATTCTAGTTCTTTCTTTCTTTCTTTCTTTTCCTTGTGCTGTTTGGTGCATCGTTGTGATGCTGGCGTTCACTTTCTGGCTCATGATGACCTACGCCCCCGACCAGGAGCAGCGTGCAAAGTAAGTCACTTTATTTCATTTTATATCATTTTTTTCGCGTTTCTCCATGCACTGTTTGTAGCCCTCTGTGATGCTGGGGTTCACGCTTTGACTCATGGCGACCTAAGATGCCCCCGACCAAGAGCAGCGTGCAAGGCGGGTGAACATTTAGTGTTCGCCACGTTTTGGGTACACTTTTAGGACTCCTTTTTGTGCTGCATCGGACGTCCTTTGCTCCTGTTTCTGGCATTGATTTACAGCTTTTTTCATCCGCTCCCTCCACCCGGCTTTTGTGGACCTTCCCTGTGGCAGGTACCAGAAGAAAGTGTCCAACATTATTGACGACGTTTTACAATGGAAACCGCAGATGCTTACAGGGAAGACAACGCCGGCTGCCCCTGCTAATGCTACATCAGCCAATCAGACGTCCGCAAATGCCACTGCTGACAACTCCACAAGCTCCGACGCTACTGCAGAAACGGTGGAGGCTAAGGCATCTAGCAGCGGTGGTAGCGATGCCTCTGGTGGCAGCAGCACTAACACAGAGAGCAAGGATGTATTCGAGGAGCAGTTGTCGGGAGGTACCCAAAAGAAGACGGGAATGGAAGCAGGTGCTTGACTAGAGTATGGTAATGATTCCCTAAAAATCAGCAGGTGTCTGCATTAGTTATTGGAGTTATTGTTATTGTGCAGATCAGATGTATGCTGTATTGTAAGGTTTCAATTCATAAGTCAGGTTGTTCACATACTAGAGCATTCGTACTCGCTGGTGAGGTTTTCACAGAGTAGGGGAGCGAAACTATCACAAGCATGAAACTGCCGCTGGTTACGTCGCTTATGTTTTCGTACCCGTGTCGCAACCTTCCCTTCACTTCGCCTTCATCTTTCGCAACTTCTTTTCATGTTTCCAAACCAGGCAGGCAGGCAGCCAGCCACAGACCACCACCACCTCCACCATCATCTCTTGCTCCACCTCCGCACTCCGCGTCTTCGCCGCTTCCCGTACGGTAACCTCCCCGCCACGCGCTTTCTGGTGTCTCAGAAACAATGTGAGTCGGCTTCTTCTTCCTCCTCGTCGAGCGCAGCTAATATTCGCGAAGGATTTTTTCCTCGGATCTTGCCTGACGGCGATTGTCTGTTCGCCGTGTAGGGCTGACGACGAGCCTGTGGATCCGAAGCTCGAGATTGAGGAGGGCTGCCGGCCGAAGTGCGTAAAGCAGCTGCTCGCGTATGAGGTGAGACCTCCCTTTCCCCTCGTTTCCAGCGCATCTTTAGTCTGTCTCCCTTTCCCTTCTTTCGCCATCCAGTTGAGCTAAGAACGAAGGCTTTGAGCTGCCTCGCGATTTCACTTTCGCCGTTTAGCCTTGTTGATCCGTCAGAAGTCTCCTCTTAAAGGCTCCGATGTGACTCTGAGCATCGATCTGCGTTGTGCAGGCTTGTGTGAAGAGGATCGAGGGCGACGAGACTGGGGAGAAGCATTGCACTGGCCAGTACTTCGACTACTGGGCGTGCATCGATAAATGCGTAAGTTCCTCGCTTCATTGCAACATCAACTATCTGGAATTATGACTTGAATAACATGTGTGCGTCTGGTACTAACCTGTGTCTGACTTCCTTCCCTCCTTTCCATGCACTCCCTCATAACCTATGCAGGCGGCTCCTAAAATCTTCGCCCAGCTAAAATGATGGCTTACCGTACATTCACTCACCTACCGTATGGTAAAGCTGGCTGATGTGATGTGCACCCGCTGTTGCTGAAGGCATTTTCTGGCCATGAAATGCACTGTACCACTACTTGACATTCTTTCAAATATATGCAGTGCAGTGGTGGCTCAGGTAGCGCTTGAGGCATTGGCATTTCCCTTTCTCTGGTCGAAGTACTGGTAACTGGAAGGATCTGCACAAATATCGTTTGTCCAATCAAAATCAGAGGGGGGAGAGAGAGAACCTGAAGGAAAGTCCACCTGATGGAAAGTACATCAAAGGCCGCTGCAGTGTGTATGACTTAGGAATGCAGTTTTGGTTCTTATTGGGCTTTATTTGGTCAAACCACCCACCTAGCTTTCTAAGACGATACACCTTTACTTCTGTTTAGTCCCACGGTTTTTGCACGCGGCTCGAGCCTGTAAGCAGGAAATGGTAAAACACGGGCAAACGGGACCTTGAACGGGAAATCCCACAGTAAGCACTGACAATTGGTTACAAAATCTCGCTCATGCACTAGATTAGTTGCCTGCGCGATGTCCCAGCTCTGAGACTCGCAATTGTCGAAATTCGACTTAGTTGTTCGCCATCGTTCAGACTGCAGCCAATCAGGTTCAGTGTCAACACGTGTCATGCTGGGAACCTGGTAGGTGGGATTGCATTTTAGACTGTTCCGGGTGGAACCATAGAGAGAAATAAGTGTATTTGTAATCGTCGCCAAATTCCATATACAGCCGATCTCTACTAAGCATTCTGTGCAGAACTTCACCCCTCCACCCCTTCCCACCGAAACATTCCGTGCAGATTCAAGTTTACACCCCCAGCAACAGAATCATTTTGTGGGTTGTCGAGCAGTCCTAGCGGTCGCTGATGTACTCCTGCAAGAACTTAGTTTCACGCTCACGTATATTCGCGTGTAGTTGGCGTCCACGCCTAGTTGTGAACCCTGAGTCTAGTCAGTGCACCACGCTCCGGCTCCTGCTGCTTCTGCTCTCTTGAATGATCTTACCTACAGCAGTATTCGGTGCGAATAGGCTATATTCAGTGCGAGACGGTGCTAATTGGTGCGAATCGGTGCAGATCAGTTCAGAATGTCGAAGCGTGAGATGCACCAGAAGCTGTTCGAGGAGTTTGACTACAAGGAAAAGGCCGGAACCGCGTGGAGCCACAACTACCTGAACCAGAAGCCATGGCACCCGCTCTCGTACCCCAACCAGCGGCGCAAGTGGATTGCGGAGCAGATGCACGGCATACAGGACAAGCGACTGACGGAAATAGAGAAAGAGGTACGCGTTATGAGATGCCTCAGTACTAGTTGCAAGTGGATCGCGGAGCAGATGCACGGTATACAGGACAAGCGACTGACGGAAATAGAGAAAGAGGTACGCGTTATGAGATGCCTCAGTATTTTGCAAGTGGATCGCGGAGCAGATGCACGGCATACATGACAAGCGACTTACGGAAATAGAGAACGAGGTATGCGTTATGAGATTTCTCGATACTCGGTGGGTTGCAAGTGCACCGCGGAGCAGATGCGCGGCGTGCAGGACACGCGACTAAGCGAGGTGGAGACAGCGATGAGACGCCTCGATATTCGGTCGAATTCGAGCAGAAGGCACACACAATGCTCTCGTTTTTTTGTATGACTCACAGTTTGTTCATTAAGCCATGCTCGTCTTACTCCTCCTCCGTCGTTGCTTGTCTCCCCGCAGTAGTTCCAGAAGGAGCAGGAGTATTTCAAGCAGACCGCGCTGCTGTCCAAGAAGCAGAAGGCCAAGGCAGAGGCGATGCAGTCCGTGTCGTTCCTCTACATGAAGCCGCCCGGGTACAACGCGGAGAGCGCAGGAGAGGGGAGGGGGCTGCCTCACGCACTCATGCTCCCTTTCCCTTGCCCCCCTTTCCCCTTGTTTCCGCTTTCCTTGCCTCCTCCCCCCTGTCTGTCTCCCCGCTGCAGTTTCAAAAGGAGCAGGAGTACTTCAAACAAACCGCTCTGCTCTCTAAGAAACAAAAAGCGAAAGCGGAGGCGATGCAGTCGGTGTCGTTCCTCTACATGAAGCCGCCCGGGTACAACGCGGAGAGCGCACGGGCGGCAGAGCTGGCGGAGGAGGAGCGGGTGAAGCAGGAGAGGGAGAAGCAGATGATGCTGGAGGGGCAGGGGGATGATGGAGGGGGGGAAGGCGGAGGGGGAAGTGCGGGAGGAGGAGGGGAAGGTGGAAACGGAGAGGGGGAAGGAGGGGAGGGTGGCGGGATGGCGAGAGATGGGGCGTTGGTGCTGGCGGATGCAGGGTGAGTCCCTGCTCTTGCATTCCCTCTCTTCCTCGCGTGGAATTGATTTCTGAGCATGGACTTCCCAATGACAACTCCCATGCCGAACCTACAGCTGTTGACCGGGTTACCTGTTGCGTGCTTTCAACCCCTCCTTCTCGCGGCTCATTTTGTTTGAGACGTCTCAAAACGAATCTTAGACGTCTCATTTCGTTTGAGACGTCTCAAAACGAATTTTAACGTCTCATTTCGTTTTAAGACGTCTCAAAACTCTCATGTTGAATCTACAGCTGTTGACCAGTCTACCTGTTGCGCGCTTCCATCCCCTCCTCCTCATGGTTCACCCCCCTTGGTAGCGGCAGTGACATTACCAGTCCCACGGAAGAAGCCGAGTGCCACGGATGTCCTACCCCCATTCCATGTAACCCCCTTCCTCCTATCCGCGCCGTTGATGGCAGTGAGACTGCCAGTCCCGACAAGGACAAGGAGGAGAAGAAGAAGAAGCTGAGAGCCATGGATGTCTTACTCCCTTCCACTGAAACCCCCCCCCCCCCCGGCCTCCCCCACCTCCCCCGCCTTCATCTGGTGGCAGTGAGACGGCAGGTGGCGACAAGGACAAGGAGAAGAAGAAGAAGAAGCCGCGAGCAACGGATGTGTTTGGCCGCGCCGTGCCCACTGGCGACGACTTTGAAGTGCTCAAGAACGCTCCCAGGTGAGGGGGGAGAGGAGAGGAGGGGGGGGAGAGTGGGGAGAGGAGAGGGGGGAGAGGAGAGGGGGGATAGGAGAGGGGGGAGAGGAGAGGGGGAGAGGAGGAGATTGAGAGAAAGAGAGGGGAAAGGGAGTATGGTTTCGTTGGGAGGGGCAAGTGATGCGTTTGGCCGAGCCGAACCGTGCCCACTGGCGTCGACGTCGAAGTGCTCAAGAGTGCCCCCAGGTGAGGGAGGAGAGGAGAGGGAGGGGGGAGAGGAGAGGAGAGGAGAGGAGAGGAGAGGAGAGGAGAGGAGAGGAGAGGAGAGGAGAGGAGAGGGAGGGGGGAGAGGAGAGGAGAGGAGAGGAGAGGGAGGGGGAGAGGAGAGGAGAGGAGAGGGGAGGAGAGGGAGGGGGAGAGGAGAGGAGAGGAGAGGAGAGGAGAGGAGAGGGAGGGGGGAGAGGAGAGGAGAGGAGAGGAGAGGAGAGGGGGCAGAAGAGGAGAAGAAGAGGATGAGGTTAACAGGAGTCTTAGTTTGTTGTGAGCTTGGTGATGAGTTTGGTGGAGCCGAGCCAAGCTGTGCGCACTGGTGATGACTTCGAAGTGCTCACGAATGCCCCCAGGTGAGGGGGGAGAAGAGAGGGGGGAGGAGAGGAGGACGAGAAAGAGGTGAAGCCACCTCAGCTTTTGTTTTACCCCCCTAAGCTCGCGCGTGTCACTCCCACCACTCTGCATCCCACCCACCCCTCTCTCGTTGCATCTCCGACTCTCCGCCTCATGTTATAGGGTTTAATACAAGCCATACTTGGATTTAGAGTCGACTAAAAAGTCCCCTCTCGTTGGTCACGGCCATCATTGGCAGGCCTCGCCCCTTAGGCTAGAAGCTGAGTTCCTTTCTCTGAACCCTCCACCTTGTCTCTCCCCCTCCTCCCTCCCCCTGCCCCCCCACTTGCCCCTCCCCCCTCCCCCTGCCCCCCCTCCTGCCCCTCTTTCCTCCGGGCCCCCCACCTGCCCCTGCCGCTCCCCCTGCCCCCTCCCAATCCCCATACAAAAACCAGGATGGACACGGGGATCATTGGCAGGCCGCGCCCCTTTGGTCTAGAGCTCCGAAACGTCAAGTGCGGGCGGTGTGGGGCGATAGGGCACAGCAGCGGGGAGCGGGAGTGCCCTCTCTTCAACTCGGTCACTGAGAATGACCTCAAGCGCCAACAGAGGGAGGACCCTCTCTCGCACATCTTGGCGCTCAACCGCCCGCAGGTATGCTTTCCTGTCCGTCCTCCCTCCCTTCTTCCCTGACGCCCCTCCCTGTCTCGCTCCTCCACTCCCGCTCCTTAGGCCCGTTCAGGAGGCTCTTATTCGACATCAAAACTTGCCTCAGATCCAAGCGAACGGAGCAAGAGGAACAAATCTACCCCCCCCCCCCCCCCCCCCCCCCCCCCTCCCCCCTCCATCCTTTCCCCATTCTTTGACTTCCCCCAACACACTCTCCTCAGACCTTTGGGTGGGAGCTGAAGGAGCAATGGGAAGAAAAGCTGACCCCCCTCCCTTTTTCCCGTGTTATTGCCCCTCCACCTTTTCACTTCAGCCGTTTGGATGGGAGCTGAAGGAGCAAGGAGCAGGAGGGATGAGCCCCGCCCGGGGCGGCTTCAAGCCAAACGACGCCAACCAGCAGATCCTGCCGCCCAGCGATGACGAGAACGAGGGCGTGTTCGACCAGTACGGGGGCTTCCTTCTTGGCGGGGAGGAGGGGGTAGCAGTAGGGGCAGCAGGTTTTGCTGCTGTTGGAGGAGTGGGCGGAGTGGGAGGGATAGGAGGGGTAGGAGGAGTAGGGGGGCTCCTGCCTGGTATTCCTTCCTCTGTTCTGGATTCTCTTACGAAGCAGCAGCGGAAGGACTTGAGCCGTGCTTTGAGGAAGAAGGAGGAGGAAGAGCGGAAGAAGAGGAGGAAGAAGAAGAAGAAGACGAGAGCAGGGGGGAGAGTAAGAAGGGGAGGGAGAAGGGTAGCAAGAAGGACAAGAAGGGCCACAGGCGGCGCCATCACCACCACAAGGACTCGGATTCGTCCTCGGATTCTGGATCAGATTCTTCAGAATCTGAATCAGATGCCGATTCGAGCTCAGAGGGTGGGGGAAGTTCCAGCTCTGGTGACAGTAGTGGGAGTGTCAGCAGCAGCAGTGACAGCAGCGGCAGTGACAGTAGGAAGAGAAAGCGTCGAAGCAGGTCGAAGGGTAAGCGGTCACATGAGAGGAAGGGGAGGGAGAAGCAGAGGATAAGAAGGGGAGAAAGTGCAGAGAAAGGTACAGGCCGCTCAGAGGAGAAAGGGGGGAGGGCTAGCAGCAGGAGGGTAGAGAGCAAGGAGCAAGCTTCTGAGACTGCTGGTGAGCGTGCCACTGAGGAAGGAGAGAAGGGTGGGGTTGAGAGACGAGACCGACAAGGCTCGGAGGATTTGAAGGGGAGAAGATTGGGAGGGGAGGACAGGGATAGGAGAGATGGGGGGAACAGGAGAGAAGAGAGAGGGCAGGATAGAGAGAAAGGAGAAGAGGATGGTTTGAGAGCGGGGAGTGCTAGAAATGAAGAGAGGGGAGTGGGAGTGAAGCGGGATCGTCATGGAGACAGACGAGATGAGAGGGGTGGGAGAGAGGTGGGGGAGAGAGATGGGAGGGGTGGGAGAGAGGCGAGGGAGGAGAGAGAGCAGAGGGGGGAGAGAGAGCACAGGGGTGGGAGAGAGGAGAGGGGGAGAGAGATGGGAGGGGTGGGAGAGTGGAGAGGGGGGAGAGAGATGGGAGGGGTGGGAGAGAGGAGAGGGGGAGAGAGATGGGAGGGGTGGGAGAGTGGAGAGGGGGGAGAGAGATGGGAGGGGTGGGAGAGTGGAGAGGGGGGAGAGAGGTGGGAGAGAGGAGAGTGGGGAGAGAGGTGAGATAGGCAGGAGAGATGAGAGGGAGGAGAGAGATAGGAGGGGAGAGGGTGGCAGGAAGGAAGGCAGAGAACGGAGGGGCAGGGAGGAGGAGCGTGAAAGGAGAAGTGATCAAGGAGACGCAAGGGAGGGGCGAGACAGAAGATAGTAGGTGGCAAAAGTCGTGTATGCAGCACAGGAAGGCACCGTCAATGCACAACTCGCCCGACTCCAGCTACAACCTGAAGAATCTGCCATTTGGCTGACCCTCAAGCTTGGAAGCTCAGTTTCCCACTTCCACTGCGTAGGTAGATATGATGTGTATGTATGTAGTACATTTATTACACGCGTATGTATGGGTTCTGCTGTACTTGACCACATGAACATGGTGTCAGAAACTCAGCCACTAACCATATTTAAAGGGCTTGTTAAAACCCCACAGCAAAATAGCAGAGGGGTTATCAAGTTGGGACCCCTCTTGAACAGGGCCCCTTATGTGTCGAGGAGTTTTTTTTCTATTCGGAGCTGGGCAGCAACCCGCACAATTCGATACTCAGAACATGTCCAGTTTGTTCAAGTAAGAACTGAATAATGGAACTAGAAGAAGAAACCTAGAAAAAATACTAGTTGGTTGTACTCACTAGAAGCATACCCCAGTCTACCCTATAACTTCTACATAGCTAATATGTATAAGTTGACACACCCCCTAGGCTAGACAAGGGGTGAAGCTACGCAAGAAGCAAACAGCTCAGGGTGGCACTACTAGTCCAACCACTGAAGCAGGGGTCTGGAGACCAGTCAGCAAGAATACAAACAAAACTAAAGCAAGCCAGGGTGGCACTACTAGACCAACCACTAGAGGTAAGGCCACAAGGCCAGTCTGACAGGTATATATAATAGAGAGTACACAATCAAAATCCTAACAGCTGAGTAGCTACAGGAACAAGACCAAGCTGTACACAGTGCCGCTGATGATCTTTAGGCGCAAGCACTTTAGTAAACATATCAGCTCTGTTGGCACCTGAGGCCAAGTGAACTACGCGGGCCTGGCGGCGCTGCTGTAACTCGCGCAGGAGGAAGTACCGCAGCTGGATATGCTTCGCTCTGCCCTCAAGCCGAGGCTCCTGACACAGGAGTATCATGGCCCTGTTGTCAGCGTACAGGACCGGGGCAGAGATAGGCCGCTCACCGAAGTCAGTGAGCAAGAAGGTCAGCCAGCGGAGCTCCTGTGCCGCCATGGCACCGGCGTAGACTGAGCCACACACAACGAGCGAGTGGATCTCCAAGAGATAGCACCCGAACCAAGGCTAAAACAGTAGCCTTGCGACGACCTGAGCGTCTCAGAGTCGTCTGCCCAAGAAGCGTCTGTGTGCCCAGTAAGGACCACTGGCCTGCGTCCTCCTAGCACTAACCCCATGCCCGATGTACTTGCAAGATAACGCAAAACCCTCTTAGCGACTGACCAGTGCTGAGGTCGGTGTCTGCCTATAGCCACAAAGCGAGCCAGGATGCTGAGAGGGTATGCGAGATCTGGGCGAGTGCAAGTCATCAGGTACATGAGGCAACCCACCAGCTCTGCGTAGGGGCCACTGGGCTCTACTGGCTCCTCAGGAACGGGAGCGGAGAGCCCATGGTCTACAGGTAGAGGTGTGGGCTGTGCAGAGGAGAACTGAAGACCGAACCTCTGAAGGACCTGACGCACCAAGTGTGACTGTGTCACAGTGATGGTGCGTGCTGCTCGGTCCGTAGAGATCTGCAGGCCAAGATAGCGACGCAGCTCTCCAAGGTCATTGCAGGTGTGTCTCTTCAGCAACTCGGCCTTCACAGAGGCCAGTGCGTCCCAATCAGCAGTAGCGAAGACCAGGTCGTCTGCATAGACAAGGATGTAGAACGGAGTCTGGCTGGAACGCACAAACAGTGAGGGGTCAGCAGAGGACGGAAAGAACTGCTGGTCTGCTAACGTGGCACGCAGCGTGTCGTGCCACTCGCGGGGAGCCTGACGCAGGCCGTAGACCGGGTGCCTGAGAAGCCATTGGGTCCCAGGGGGGAAGGTACCAGTGAAGCCCTGTGGTCGACGCAGGTAGACCTGCTCGTGTAGGCTGCCTTGAAGAAAGGCAGTAGAGAAGTCGAGGGAGTGAAGCTCGTAGTGGTCATCTTCGGGGTCTGGGCGAAGGTCTGGAAGAAGTCAACCCCCTCGCGCTGACTGAAGCCTCTGGCCACGTAGCGCGCCTTGAAGACAGGCGGCTCTCCAGGGGGGCGCTTCACCTTGAAGAGCCACCGACCATCGACTACGTTCACCCCAGGCGGGGGAATTGCGTCGACGTAAGTGCCGGTGGACCTCCAAGATGCCATCTCCTGCTCCATGGCAGCTATCCACTGAGAGGCCCAAGGTCCCAAGGTGGCCTCAGCGTAGGTGCGAGGGGTCGGGATGTCGAAGGCGTCTGGGTCACCCTCAGGGACTAATAGCATGGAGCAGAGATGGGGAGCAGCCTCGGAAAGGAAAGCAAGCTCGTACTGCATGTCCTCCAGGACGTCACTGCCAAGGGCAGGAGCACTCCCGACGGACGGAGGCGTCAAGGCGCAAGACAGGAACAGAAGGACGAGTGGCACGGAGGTAGTCAGAGAACGGAGGAGGTGCAACAGCAAGGGACGAGGGAGGAGGGGACGGGAGGAGGGGAGGACGAGACGAGCGGGAACGGAGCAACATAGGGTGGGAGCGCAAGACAGGAGAGACGGGACGAGCACGGGAGGGACGGCGAGACCAAACGTGGGACGGAGGTGTAGGGTGAGGGGACAGCGGAGGGGACACAGGAGGGGAACGAGGAGGAAGACGGGCCGGAGACGAGTCTGGCGGCGGGAACACAGGACCGTAGACTAGAAGGTCAGCAGGCGGTGGGGGAGACACCGGCGAGCGGTCCGGGGAGAGAAGGCCGAGCAGGCGGAGAGCGGAGACCGGCGGCGACGGTTGCTGCGGCTGCTGCGACGGCTGGGCCGGAACCCTCGGACCGGCAGAGGCAGGACGACCGTCGGCGGAACCCTCAACAGCAGCACCCCCAGAACCAACACCCCCAAAGCGAGAACCCCCTCCAACACCGGCAGCACCCCCAAGAGCCGCAGGACGAACACCCTCCTCCACACCAGCACCCCCCGGGGCCAAGAGCGGCGACGACGGTAGTGGCGGCGGCAGCAGCAGTGACGGCAGCGGCAGCGACGGCGGCGGCGGCTGTGCCGGAGGCGGCGACTGCAACAGTGGAGGCGAAGACACCGGGGAAGGGGGACGCGGCAAGGACGGGCTGGGGTTACCACCAGAGTCAGCGGACTCCTCAACGGGGACAACCGACGGGAGGGGAGTGACGTGAGAGACACCAGACAGGGCAGGGCGAGGCGGGAGAGGAGCAGGGGCTACCGGGGGAGAGGGAGCAAGGAACAGGGGCGGGGCAACCGGGAGACCGCGGTGAGCGAAGCGGCGGTAGAAGGAGACAGACTCGTCAAAGGTGACGTCATGAGAGTGGAGGAAGCGGTGAGACCGCAGGTGGTAGAAAAGCCAGTCAGACGAGTCCAGGGGGAAACCGAGGAAGACATAGGGGACAGTGCGGGCAGTAAGCTTGTCCGTGCCAGAGGCACGAACGTGAGCAAGGCAGCCCCAGACGTGGAACGCAGACGCGTCACCGGGGGACCCGTTCGAAAGGAGGGTCGGCGAAACCTGCGGCCGCTGGGAGCGTGGCCACAAGTTAAGCTGGTGAGCAGCGTAGCGAACAGCGAACGGCCACAGAAAATGGGGGGCATCGGCATGAATCATGGAGGTACGGGCGACCTCCATGACCAAACCAATGCGGCGCTCAGCAACCCCATTCTGCTATGGCGAGTCCGGCAAGGTGTACGACTGGGTGATGCCCTCCGCACGACAGAAATGTCCAAGCCGACCAGAGGCGAACTCGCCGCCACGGTCAGAGTGGAGACACAACACGGGGAGACCGTGATGCAGACGCGCAGCCACAACCCACGGGAGAAGAACGTCGAGCACATCGTCCTTCCGCTCCAAGGGAAACACCGTGGTGTAGCGCGTGTAGTCGTCGACGAGCACAAGAAAGTAGCGCTCTCCACGCGATCCAGGGACGGGGGCAGGGCCCCAAACGACCAGGTGCAAGGTCTGAAGGAGGGCAGTAGCAGGGCGCAGCGAGGAGGAGTGAGGAGCACGGCGGAGCCGGCCCTCGACGCAAGGCGTGCACGGTGGCGCAGTCGAGGGAGGAAGGGCAGGGAGCAACGCAGGGAGACATAAGACAAGACCGTGCTGGGACATGTGACGTAGACGTGGGAGAGCAGGGTGACCTAGGCGGTGGTGCCACAGAAGGGACGGGTGAGTGAGGCACCGACACGAGCAAGCTGCAGCGACCTGGAAGGACGCACCAACCGGGGGGGAAGCGGTGTCGAGGGTAAACAGACCGGACACCGGGTCCCGGGGGAACGTCGCAAGAAGGGAACCTGAGAAAGACTCAGAACAGAGAGCGAACCGCTCGTGCCCGGGGAACGTGGTGGTGACGCCGAGGTCCTGGAGACAGCCGACACCAACCAGGTTCCTTGAGAACGAGGGAACGTGGAGGCATGTAAGGGAGCCCGAGGGAACTGCTGGACAGGGAAGGGACGTAGAGCTGCGAGCGACGACAGGACCCGCAGAGGGGTCAGCGAGAGAGACAACAGCAGGCGAAGCAAGCGGCGTGAGCGCGGAACGGTCGCGGAAGAAGCAGGCAGAAGCACCGGAGTCGAGAGTGAAGGACAGCGAAGCTTTGGTGGAGGCCGGGAACGGAGCCGGTGCAGAGACTAGGCTTGGCAAACTAGGCAGTCCTACGCCTGACGCAGCAGGGGAGGCTAAGCTACACAAGGGTGCAACACCTAAAGTAGAGTACACAGGGTAATAAGATCCAGCAACACTAGAAGCGTCAGAATACAAAGCATGCAAAACAACACCTAGCTGATCCATGTCTAACTCAAAGATCGGCACGCCCTGGCGGAGCAGGCTGTGCCAGTCGGGGAGGTCCGGGGCCGGGCCAAAGCGACGACGAAAGAGATCGTTGAGGCGGCGGAAACATCGGGCGGTCGGGTGCGGGCGGCGGCACAGAGTGCCGCGAAGAGGCCCGGTCTGAAGCTGGTACTGGCAAGTGACAGCACCGGAGCCACCGGTAGACACTGAGATGCGCGGGCCGCCACCACGGCCACTACCTTCGGAGGTGCCGGGCCAACCAGGTGGGAGACGGGCCCACAACTGCGGCGTGTGATGCTGGAACGGCGGCCGCTGCTGGGGCTGCTCCTGCTACGGCTGGGGCTGCTGCTCCTGCCTACCGGTGGTAGTCCCCTCAGGCGGACTACCGTCACCACCACCACTACCACCACCACCTGCGCCACCACCCCTACCTCCCTGGCG